ACGTCCTCCACAACTAGACTGAAGAACAAAAGGGCAGCAACTTTTCTGTTCCCCTTCCGCAATTCCCCAACGCTGTTCCCCTCCCCCAATTCCCCAATTTAAACAAACAAACAAACAAACAATTGCAGAGAGGACCTAGGACCTAAGATCTCATAGTTGTCCTAACACTCTTAAGGAGGCTGTAACAAGGGTGAGGGGTTAGAGGAGGCTTGCCTTCTGGGTTTAAAAGTATCTCTGTTTTTCTCTTCAGTTACCTCAGCCTTAAGCAGCAGTGGCTGCGGAGGCATCAGTAGCTTTGTTTACATTTCAGGTTTTCTGCAAGATCTTGGAAGTTACTGAGAGTTGGAAAAGTCTTTCAAGACTTACATTTGCCAAGTTTCTGAATACAGAGTTAGTGTACAAGACAAATTTAACTTCAAAAATAGTATAATTTAGAGACCCATTGAGAGGCTACCTTTTCTTAGAATTTAGAATGTATATGGGCCAAGCTGTATTACAATAAAACTTCATTGGCTTATGAGTTGACCAGTTTGTTAATATACGACCTAGGGGGCTCTCAGAAGGTATAGATACAGAGCTCCCCCATCAGCTTGGTGTCTAAGACACAAATAGAAAAGAAAAAAAAGGGGGGGGGGAGGACAGACTAGAGGAGAACACAGCAAAACAAATAAGTAAACCAGAGTACTCACAGAACCAAGTCCTACTGAAATGAGGAGCTGGGGTTCAAATCCCAGTCTCTGACCAGCCCGGCACCGCAGATTGGCCTCAGAAAGACAGGCCCAGGTTGACCTCAGAGAGGCCCCAGATTGGCAGGAAGCACAGACAGCATACAAGCACAGGTGCCAGTGATTAGCCTATGAGAGACTCCAACAGCAGAGACAAGAGAGTACCAGTTCCCACCTTGCAGAATAGAGGGGTCCCGATAGAAAGCCATAAAGGCCTGAACACATGGAATTTCTGACCATTTGCCTTCCCTTCTACAAAATAAATCTGACTATAAAATAGTATTATAGTTTAAACTTCCATTAATTGGCTAACTTTCTTGGTCACCCAATTTGTACTGGGGCCAAACTACATTGCAAAAGAAGACAAAACATTTTTTTCTTTAGATTATCGGGATTAAATTTTTCCCAATGATTAAGGATGCAGCTGAGTGCTGAGTCTGATGGGATTGAGATTGCCGGTTTATTTCCCATGATGTTCTGCAAGAGAAGGGAGACTCTAAGGAGAATTTATAGGCAAGGACAAAACTTCCCCTAGGAGACATACCTCTAGGAGATAGTTAGGTCTGAGTTTGGATCCTCTGGAGCACCCCGCTGAGAGGATCCTTCTTTAGGATGCCAGGCGTCTCTGGTCTTAGGTGGGTACTGGTACCACTTTGATTTAGACTTAGAAGTAGAACTCCTCCATAGGCTGTGTCCTATGACAATTCTTGGTATCCCTGGGTGGAGTGCTTGGCTCTTTGCATCCTGCCAGTTGAGGAACCCCTCATCAATTATGGTTCCATGGATGGCCAAGGTCTTAGTGATAACTGTTAGGGAAGTTGGAACAAAGGGAATGGGGATGGCTCAAAATCTTTTAGGTATTTCTTTTTTTTTTAAAGATTTTATTGGGGAATTAGGGGGAGGGGAACAGGGTTGGGAAATCGGGGAAGGGGAACAGACAGGTAGACAAATTGCTGTTTTTGTTCTTCAGTCTAGTTGTGGAGGACATCGCTTCACTGGCCCATGTTGGTATGCTCATTGTGCTCTTCCCGGGTGAGGAAATTGGTCGCCGGTCACTGGTCGGCGGCTCCCGGTAGCTCACACCGGCTACCGGCCGCTCACGCTGGCTGCCAGCCAATCACATAGCTCACCGCAGCCCACTGCAGCCCTGCTGTAGCCTACGCCGTTGCCGGCGACTCACAGCAGCCCAGCTCCAGGTTGAGCTGTTGTTCATCATCTTAGCTGTAGAGGGCAAGTGTCACTGACCCTCAATGTGGGATCCAAACCGCAGCCCTGCTGCTCAGAGCTGGAGCTCCCAAGTGAGCTGTTAACCAGCTGAGCCACTCGGCTGGCCCCAGGTATTTCTTTAAAATTCGTAGGTGAGCAAAGAAAGACCACAATGACCCTAAATCTTGGGTGCTTTTAAGGAAGAGAAGGAAGAGACTTGAGGAGATCCTTCGAGCTGAGGTGACCACTGGGTTGGGCAAAAGAAAAGGTGACGTAGAGATGCAAGCCAGAAAAGTGGGTTCAGAGGTGGCCTCTTAGTGAAAGGTTAATGGAAAGCAAGGCGGAAAAGGAGGGCAGCCTGAGGTTCCCAGAGGAAGTCGGCAAGATGGCGAAAAAACAGAGGGGATGAGGTTTGGCCGAGTGGTGCGTTGGTTAAGAGTTGGCTTGGGACGCCAGAGGGTACCGGGTCGGATCCCACATATGTGGGCCAGTGACACTGCCCTCCACAGCTAAGATGCTGAACAACAGCTCAACCTGGAGCTGGGCTGCTGTGAGTCGCCAGTGACGGTGTAGCCTGCAGCCCCTGCTGCAGTGGGTTGCCATGGGCTACCTTGTGGAGCCAGCAGCCACAGTGAGCGGCCGTCCAGAAGCTGGCAACTGATCTGCCTTCCCCGGGAAGAGCGCAATGATAGTGCCAACTTGGGCCAGTGAAGCAACGTCCTCCACAAATAGACTGAAGAACAAAAGGACAGCAACTTGTCTGTTCCCCTTCCCCCAATTCCCCAATAAAAATCTTAAAAAAAAAAAAAAGATTAAAAGCGTTGACCCAAGGAGCAGGACTCAAAGCTACTGACACAGGGTGAAAGTCCATTTAGCTTCATGGGGTCTGTGGCTTTTTCCTCTGGTTTCTAACTAGTTATTCAGGTGGCATTGTTTACCCAGGAGTTGAATCCAGGATAGCCTGGAGAGAATGCTGGGCCACAATGATTACAATCAACAAGCTTATATCACAGGTTTCTGGGTAATTATCTGAAGCAGGGGTGAGAGACATTCTATTGTATGATTCAGGCTAGGAGCAAATCTTAGGATTCAGAAACTGATTTAGGGCCGGCCGAGTGGCTCAGTTGGTTAAGAGCTTCCTCAAGAGTGTGAGCTCTGAGCAACAGTGGTTCAAGTCCTGGCCCAAGCTGAGCTGCCAACAGGCGGCAGAATGGCTCAGCTAAAAAAAAAGAAAAGAAAAAAGAAAGAAAAGAAACTGATTTAAAAAGTTATTAAAACCATGGACAAGGGAGCTAAGAAACTAGGAAAAGAGACTTAAAATTCCTATAGTAAGGAGACTCTCCCAAATCAATTTCTCCTGTGAAAGACACAAGGATTGCATCAGAGAGGAGGAAGTGGCCCGGACATTTGGCATAGGAGCACCTGGGCAGGGTTTGGTGAGGTTGAGATTAGAGGTTGGCTCCAAGCCAAGTGAGAGGCTTTCAGGCCAGGGCACTGTGTCCCTGTGAAGGACACTTTGGCCATGTGGCACTTGCTGCTTTCCTGATGATCCAGGAACCTCAGTGTCTGACCCCCAGAAACCTAGCAATTCAGGTGGGATGCCGAAATTCCAGTTATGGGACACAATCTGCATCAGTCAGTGAGGGAGGCAGATGGGTTTACAGGCCCCCAGCCCCTCCTCCCTCAGACTCTGGAGTCCAAGTCTCCAGCCCCTCCTTTCTCAGACCCAGGAGTCCAGGCCCCACGCTGGAAGGACCCCCTGATTGCATCATGCGTTCAGGCTGACCTGGCCACGGTGGAATCTTTGCTCCTGCCAAGTGGGTCAAATATCACAGGTCAGGTATGCGGAAAGCGATTGGGCGGTTCTGTCTGGGTATAAATTCTGGAGCTTCTGCTCCAGGGACTTGGTTGTTCTGTTGGCTGGGAATCCACGTGCATTCGGGCTACCTGAGCAGTAATCTGTGAATCTGTTCTCCCGGACAAGCAGGCGCTGAAACAGAACCTAGACCATACAGCTCTTTAGACTCCAGACTTCAGACCTCAGACTTCACCTGAAGTAAGCCATTGATGGGCTCGGACAAGGCCAGGTTCCAGCACCTAGGATGGTGGGTCCTTGTGCTCACTGTCTTGCTGGGAGCCTGCCAGGCATACCCCATCCCAGACTCCAGCCCCCTCCTCCAATTTGGGAACCAAGTCCGTCAACGGTACCTCTACACAGATGACGCCCAGGAGACAGAGGCCCATCTGGAGATCAGGGCTGATGGCACAGTGGTGGGGGCTGCCCCCCAGAGCCCCGAAAGTGAGTACAGGGGCAAGATCTGGTCCTAATGGAGGAGGGACTGGGAAAAGGCCCTCTGAGTCTCTGACCACTTTCTCCCTTCAGGTTTGTTGGAGCTCAAAGCCCTGAAGCCAGGTGTAATTCTAGTTTTGGGAGTCAAGACATCCAGGTTCCTGTGCCAGAGGCCAGATGGGACACTGTATGGATCGGTGAGTTCCCAGAACACCCCTCCTCACACTTTATCCTTCCTCCCATCATATTCACCATCTGGAGTACCACATCTGGCACCTGTGGCCCGGGTCAGTCTTGGTTCTGGGTTCTCTGCATGGCCTAACCTCACTGCAGCCTGTGGAGGTGGGGCCTGTTGTTACCAATGTTTTCAAGAAGAGAAACTGAGGCTCAGGTAGGGCACCACTGGCTCCAATTCAATGAATGGCAGAATGACCTCAGAGACAGAGTCCTGTGTCTCATAACCCTTGCTGACCCCACGGGTTTCTACGTGTCTGGCTTATGCTGGGTACAGGGTTGCTCTGGGAACCCATGGCCTGTACAGTGACCATGACCTTGGGTAGTAGCCAGACTCCCCTGCTTGGCCTTGGAGAGCTTTGACTGGTCCTTGGGCTAGAATGTTCCTCTTTGTGAAGTGGGGACAGGAAGGTGGACCTTGCAGGACTGCCGAGGGTTAAAGGAGGAGCCAGATTTTGTTGTTTTGTGTCCTAAAGGGTGGGAGACCTGGACCCCTGGGTCCTGCAGTAGGAAGATGTGGAGGTAGCTCTGATCTCTGTTCTTGTCCCCTCAGCTCTACTTTGACCCAGTGGCCTGCAGCTTCCGGGAACTGCTTCTTGAGGATGGGTACAACGTTTACCAGTCCGAGGCCCGAGGCCTCCCACTCCGCCTGACCCCCCACAACTCCCGGTCTTGGAACCTGGTCTCCCAGGGTCCCACCCGCTTTCTGCCACTGCCAGGGCATCGCCCAGAGCCCCTGGAGCATCCAAGGGTCCTGGCCCCTGAACCTCCTGATGTGAGCTCCTCAGATCCCTTGAGCATGGTGCGGTCTTCGCCGGGCCAAAGCCCCAGCTACACTTCCTGAAGCCACAAACTCTTTATTGTTGGGTCTCCTCTTTAATTTATTGGGTTATTTATCTTATTTATTTTTCTTACTTGGAATAATAAAGAATCTGAGAAGGTGATCAGAGTGTGTGTGTTTGAGAGAGGTAATGGTATCTGCTTTCCTGTCTCCCATTGACCCTCCAAAGCCCCTCCCCCTTGTCCCCTCCATTGCTATAAGGCTGTAGAAAGATCCTAGCTTTCTCCTGGGCCTGTTTTCTGCTCCAATAAGGTGTCCCGAAGGACTCTGCATTATCCCTGCCCTTTGACAGGACAGTACTTATCCCTACTCATTCCACCCCCAATCTCATGTTAGTGTTGTGGAACTATTTCTCAGAGGTACCTCAATAACAAGGGATTGGTTTTTTTTTTTTAAGATTTTATTGGGGAACTAGGGGAGGGGAACGGCGTTGGGGAATCAGGGAAGGGGAACAGACAAGTTGTTGTCCTTTTGTTCTTTAGTCTAGTTGTGGAGGACGTTGCTTCACTGGCCCATGTTGGTATTATCATTGTGCTCTTCCTGGGTGAGACAGTCGCTCTACGGCCATTGGGCAGCCCTTCATGGCGGCTTACAAAAGCTCACGCTCACTGCGGGCCAGCCCCACTGCAGCCTACAGTGCCGTCACCAGCGACTCATGGTAGCCCAGCTCCAGGTCGAGCAATTGTTCACCATCTTAGCTGTAGAGGGCTCAGCGCGTCACTGGCCCTCATGTGAGATCCGAACCAGGGCCCTGCTGTTCAGAGCTGGCGTCCTAAGCCAACTCCTAACCAATGCGCCACTCAGCCAGCCCACAAAGGATTGTTTTTAATGACTCTGCAGGGCCACAGCCTCATGGAAAATGTAGTTTTCTGGGTTCATTTAGCACTAGGAATGGGAAAACATTTTGGTCCTCAAGGCTGGGGCAAGGACTCTTGGATCCTGAGAGTGTTATTGATGCTAGAATGGCACTCTTGGGTACTGAAGGATCAGAAGGCTGGACATCTGGACACATGGGACCCAGAAGAACAGGGAAATAGGGTCCTGGACACCCTAATCTGAGAGACAAAGTGCTGGGGGCTCAGACATCTGGTTTGAGGGTGGAAGGGCTGGAGATTGGAAGTCCTGGGTCTCAGGATGAGGACTGGAAGATCGCAATACTTCTGTCCAGGTGCTCATGGACTTTGGAGTGTAACAACTGTCAAGGACATTCTTTCACAAGAGGGGAGCTTTGTCCAACCACTGAAAAGAAAGGACAATTATGTTACGTGATAGAGGTGCTAATCATCACTACAATGACAATCATACTACTTTACACAAAATATCAAATTATCATGATATACACCTTAAGTTTGCACAATGTTATATGTCAAATATATTTTAATAATAATTTTTTTCAAGTATGGAGTTTTGTCCTTCCAAAAAAGATCCTATTGAATAATTCTGAGATCCCTGAGGACTGAGATCATCCAGTATCTTCTAACTTCCCGCAGCCTCCTATAGTCACCTGCTAATTGGAGCCTCTGACGTCATACACACATGATTTGACCTTTGTTGTCCTCAGCTGTGAGGGCAACCACTCCTCCAGGGGTGAGAACTGGTTGGGAATTTCAACCTTTACAGTAACTTTGCCAGTTTCCTTTTCATCCTGTGCTGGTACTGGTTTGGCCCCACCCACTTAAATTTTGGGGTTCCTGGGGCTCCACATTCAGCTGGTTTTGTGGAAGATGTTCTTTGTGAACTTGTTCTATTCTGCTTTTTCTACACAAGTAGGTTTGTTTTTTTGTTTTTTTCTGGTGGACGGGATGTAGAAAGACTAAGAAACTGTGCTGCCTAACCTGAATCTAACAGTGAGGTGACATCAAACAAATTCCAACCAAGGCATCTGCTGCAAAGCAACTGGCCTTGACTCTTAGAAAATGTCAAGGTCAAGAAAGAGAAACACAGAGGAATTGTTTAGATGGATGGAGGCCAGAGAGAGGGCACAATGAAATGCAGTTTGTTGAGCAAATCATTTTCTATCCTGGACATTTGCAAGACTCTCGATGACATCTGAATGCAGTCTGTACATTAGATAGTAATTGATCCATGTTAAATTTTCTGTACCATTGTATCGTGATTATTTTTAAAAATGTCCTTGTTCTTAGCAAATACACACTGAAGTATTTAGGGATAACAGGGCATGGTATCACCAATGTTTTCTCAAACATTTCTGGAAATGTAAATATATAATAATATATAGAGATAGAGAATGAATGATAGAGCAAATGGGGGCAGGAATAGCGATAACTGAGGGAACCTAGGCAAAGGATATATATGGAGTTCTTCGTACAAGGCTTGAAAGTTTTCTATAAGTTCAAAATTATATCAAGTTAAAGTTACTCCTGCAAAAAAAAAAATCATGCTGTAGCCTCTTCTAAATGCATTAATCAGCTTTTAAGAAGAAAGAGAAATCTCCAGGCCTCCACCCCAAAAAAAAATAGAAGAAGAAGAAGAAGAAGGAGAGAGAGAGAGAGAGAGAGAGAGAGAGAGAGAGAGAGAGAGAGAGAAANAGAAATCTCCAGGCCTCCACCCCAAAAAAAAATAGAAGAAGAAGAAGAAGAAGGAGAGAGAGAGAGAGAGAGAGAGAGAGAGAGAGAGAGAGAGAAAGAAAGAAAGAAAGAAAAAAAGAAAGAAAGAAAGAAAGAAAAAGAAAGAAAGAAAGAGAGGGAAAGAAAGAGAAGGGAAAAGGGAAGGTCATAGAAGAAGGGGGTGCAGGAGGGAAGAAGAAAATATAAGAAAGAAGTGAAACTCAGAGTGGAAAATGTGAACTGGGTGCCGTTTCCTGTGAGAGAGAAATGTGTTTCTCAAGGTGAAGCTCAAGGGCCACAACTTCAGTGAAATCCTGGTGTTTAAAATACCACGAATACCATTCCACCTTAAAAAGGAGAGAGGTTCTGACACGTGTTACAACATGGATGAAACTTAAAAACATTTTGCTAAATGAAAGAGGGCAGACACACAAGGACAGACACTGTACGATTCCATTTATAAGAAGTACCTAGAATAGGCAAATTCATAGGGACAAGAAGTGGGTGCCGAGGGCTGGGGGAAGAAGGGGATGGGAAATTGTTTAATGGGTACAGAGTTTCAATTTGGGATGATGAAAAAGTTCTGGTGATGGATGATGGTGCTGGTTGCACAGCAATGTGAATGCATTTAATGCCACTGAAATGCACACTCAAAAATGGTTAAAATGGTAAACGTTATGTTATGTGTATCTTAACACAATAACAAAACAAAACAAAACTCCACCAAACTGCACTAAGAAAACTTCAGGGAGATCCTGTTTCTGCTTGGACTCTGGATGGGAAAAAAAATGATTCTCTACTGAAAGTTGTGTAACCGTCGGACCAGTCTCACGTGGAATGGTTATAAAATCAAACTGGGTGGCTGAGGCATGCCCAAGCTGAGAACTTGATGGAATAACAGTTGGACTAGTGATATCCCAGGGCTTCTGGCCAAAGCAAACTTCTCTCTTTCTGGAGAGGTGCCACTCATCCCAGATATCACAGAGGAAATCTTGAATGAGTTCATACTCCAAAGTCACAAAATTTACCAGGGAACTAGGCACGTGGCATGAGCCAGCAGATACACTGAACAAGATGGATGGCCCTGCCCCACCCCACAACTTTAGCATAGAACTGTCAGAGAAAAATGATCGTTCAAGATCTTTTTTAAAAATTAGAACCAAATACATACAACATAAAACGTACCATCATAACCATTTTTTCAGTGTACGGTTCAATAGTATTGAGCATATTCTCATTACTATGCAATCAATCCCTGGAATGTTTCCATCTTGTAAAACTAAACTTCTGGACCCACTAAACGACAACTGCCCATTGCCACCTCCCCTCAGCCCCTGGCCACCATAATTCTACTTCTTGTTTCTATGAATTTTACTACTTTAGATACCTCATATAAGTGGAATCATACAGTATACCAGAAGCAATATGTGACACGAAGCGTTGTCATGAGGGAGGGTGATTTACTGCATACTTTAAAGCATACCTTCTCTCAAACATAGCCAACACCCGATTGACTGTGCTGAACAAGTTGAAACTTGACACACACTGTTACTAAGGTTCAAGGTGCCACTTTTTGTATTGAAGATCCCGGCCTTTCTGGTGGATGGCACCCGGTAGCAGCATTCACCGTATTTTGTGATCACAACAAAAAGTCTCCGTGTCACACGTCACTTCTGGTACAGCAATTTCTGTCAAATAAAAACATTACAGTGCATCCTCATCCACCTTATTTACTGGATCTGGCACCATGTGACTTCTGGTTCTTCCCCAGAGTCAAAATGACCATGAAAGGTAAATGTTTTGAATAGATTCAGGACATCAAGGCAGCCACCACAAAGCAACTAAAGATGCTCATGAAAGAGGACTTCCAGGACTGCCTCTGAAAGGGGCAAGAACGCTGGGATGAGTGTGTTCAAGTGAAGGGGGATATTTTGAAGGGAATTAATGGCAATGTGTCTTTTACTGTAATACATATTTTTGAAATTTAAACATTCACCGTATTTTTTATCACACCTCATATATCATATTGGTTCTGTTTCTCTGAGAAACCTTGACTAGAACAACCTCATACTGTTTTCCACTGTAGCCACACCATTGTACATTTTCACCAACAGTGCCCAAAATTTCTCCACATCTTCACCAACACTTGTTATTTCTTGGGTGTGTATATATATATATATATATATATATATATATATATATATATACATCCAAAAAATGTATACACATGTTAAGAAAGGAAAACTGTATTAAAATTGTAATACTCTATACTGATAACAAAAGATGAATACCAGTTACATTTGACTTCTGCAATTACAAGAGGTGCCTAAAGTGGTTTCCGTCAGCGTCCAGAAACTTCTGATTACAGCAAACTACTGCTTGAGCAACACTGACCAAAGTGTCCACTTGTATAAATTTTTTGGCATCCCAGTGTGTGTGTGTGTGTGTGTGTGTGTGTGTGTGTGTGATTCTGATGGGAGAGAGGTGCTATCTCATGTGAATTTGATTTTCCGTTCCCTAATGATTAGTGATATTAAGCATCTTTTCATATGTATGTCATATATACGCGTATGTACATATCTTCTTTGGAGAAGTGTCTATTCAAGTCTTTTCCCCATTTTTAAATCAGGTTATTTGTTTTTTACTATTGTTAAATTGTAAAAGTTCTTTATATATTCTGTCTATTAACCTCTTATCAGATATGTAATTTGCAAAGATTTTCTCCCATTCCATAGGTTGACTCTGTTGATTGTGTCCTTTGATGTATAGAAGTTTTAAATTTTGATGTAGTCCAATTTATCTATTTTTGCTTTTGTTGCCTGTTCTTTTGCCATCATGTCCAAGAAAGCATTGCCAAACCCAATGTCATGAAGCTTTTCCCCTAAGAGCTTTATAGTTTTAAGTCTTATGTTTAGGTCCCTGATTTAATTTGAGTTACTTTTTGCATAACATGTAAGATAGGGGTCCAAATTCATTGTTTTGTGTGTGGGTATCCAGTTTTCCCAGCACCATTTGTTGATAAAATTGTGGTGAAATCTTTTCATGTCAGAGGAGCTTTCGTATGTAAGCTTCATATGAATTATTCATAACAATTTGTGGGTTTTGGTAATGATTAATTACTTTTTAAACAATCAGCTTTCCTCTAAACATTCAGTGACTACTTTCACAACTAAAAATAGCAAGCTGTGAATTTCACAATTTTAGATTTCCCCAAACATTTGAACATTGAGTGCAAATTTAATCAATGAACTTTCCACCAAGTCTGGTATCTCAGATTCCTTTAAATGTGCCTTGAGTGAAAGGACTAAGTACAAAGTGCCAGTTGTAAAAACAGTCACGGGATGTAAAGCACAGCAAAGGGAATATAGTCAGTAATATTGTAATAACTATGTATGATGTCAGATGGGTACTAGACTGATTGTGGTGATCACTTTCTAAGTTATACGAATGTTTAACCATTATGTTGTACATCTGAAACTAATCTAATATTGTATGTTACCTGTGATTGAAAAAAAAAGAAAAACAAAAACCCAGTACCTGAGGGGGAAAAAGTTCCTTGAGTAAAAATGCCTTGAATAGAAGAAGATCAGTAATACAATCCTGATAATACTTTTCACAAGTCTAACATAACAGAGTCTCACAAATGCTTTAAATATCATCAAGGACAAATAGGGGTACAGTAATTATCACATTGATCAGTTTCTTTAGATTAAACTGGTTATAAAAGTGTCGACATCATAGATATTAATGTGTCTCTTCAATACCTCTATTCTCATTGAGATTTTGATTTAAAAATCCTGATACTTCTTCTTGTCCCTATGATTTTTCTTACCTAGAAGAGAATTAGGTTTCGCTCACCCACCAGTGAAGTTGAGTTAGCAATTTGATGGTTCAAGGTTTGGCCCTGGGGTCCCTTCCAAGTTGATCCTCACCAAGCCAGAGTCCTAGGACAAGACTCTTATTTTATTAGACAATGTCATGATCACATGACTTAGGAAGTTGATTTTGGTGAACCTGAGCTATATCCCACAGCTGTTTACTCAGAGTGTCATATGTTTATAGTACAGCCTGGGAAAAGTGTTCAAAGAGTCATCTCATTTTTAACAGGCTAGGAGGTGAGATTTTTTAGCAGCTGTTTGTTCTGGGGCCTTCTCTGTGAAAAGGGTGGAATGTTTACTCTTTATTATACACCCAGAGTGAGCCCATATTCGCTCTGCTTGTCTTGGTGAGGTAGTGCTGGTGCCTCTTTAGCACAAAACTCACCTTCCAACTCTGTGACTCCCCTTTGCCAACCAATGTTAGTGGCAGGGAGGCCCTGGCAGGAGACTGGGAGGCAGGCGGTGGGACAAGGGACTTCTTCCCACCTCCAGCTCCAGTCTGCAGCTTCCCAGTAGCCACAGGCAGTGATGGCCAGCTTCCAGCTATTTTTAGTACTTTCAGCACTAGCCAGCTGCATGGCCTTGCCAGGGAGATTTCCAGCCTCCTCAGACTGAGGTGTGATTCCCCCATTAGCCATGGTCTCTCAGAAGTCAAAACACCAGCTGCCTGGAGCCCCCTTCCTAGAGGTCTGAATTCTCCCTCAAAGGGGCCATTCCTCTGAGGTCCTACAGAACCCTGGGCTTTGAGCTGCTTCTGGTAACTACTACTTTTACTATCTCAGGGATCGTGTTTTGCTCTTCCAGCCTCCTAGCATTGCACTTCTCCTTGGAATACCCCCCTCCCCCCAGTCCTTAAGACGCCTTCTTCAGCATTCCCTTGGCACCGGTGAGTCAACCCCTTTTTGCCTTTGAGTGGACAGACCCTGAGCTGGGTATTTCAGGCCAGCTGACCTGGACACGGTTGCCTCAGGGATAGCACAGGAAGGTCACCCTACTCCAGTACGTAGATGATCTCCTCCTAGCGGCCTGGGACTTTGAAACCTGTAAACAGGCCACAGGGGACCTTTTACAGGCCCTTCAGACTCTGGGATAGGTGATGTGGGGTATTGCCGGCTTTGGATCCTGGGGTTCGCAGAGCTCGCCAAGCCTTTATATTCGGCTACTGTGGGAGGGGATACACCGCTCATATGGACAGCTGAAACTGATAAAGCCTTTAAAGCCTTAAAACAGGCCCTCATTTCGGCCCCGGCACTTGATCTCCCAAATGTTACCAAGCCGTTTCATCTATTTGTGGCTGAGAAAAACGGCATCTCAAAAGGGGTCCTAACGCAGACCTTGGGACCCTAGAAAAGGCCAGTTGCTTACCTTTCCAAAAGGTTAGACCCCGTGGCCTCAGATTGGCTCTCCTGTCTCCGGGCCATTGCCGCAACAGCCATGCTTGTCCGAGAAACCGATAAGCTCACCTTTGGCCAAGATTTACATACCACCACCCCACATGCTGTAGATACTCTACTAAGAGGAACTCCTAACAGATGGCTCTCAAACACCCTGCTCGCCCAATACCAGGCCCTCCTCCTCGACCAGCCGCGACTACAATTTCATAAAGAGATTACCCTCAATCTGGCTACTCTGCTCCCCGACTCAGATCCTGCTGCTCCACTCCACCACTGTCTCGAGGTAATCTCTCAGACCTGCTTGGCTCGGCCTGACTTGATGGATGTATCTCTACCCGAACCGGACGAGGTACTCTTTACAGATGGGAGCAGTTATGTCAAGGACGGAATCAGAGGTAAAAAAAACCTCCCCCACGTTGTTTGATGAGACTTTAAATAAGGATCTCAGTAGCTTCCGGAAGGACATGAGTCCCAAGGCCATAGGAAACCAGGCTGCTGACCAGGCCGCCCGGAAAGCTGCCCTAAGACCAGTGAGGCTGATAGACATCATGACAACCCAACTATTAGAATATCTCCCTGATAACCCCACCTACACTGAGGAGGAACGCCAGTCCTTCCTGTCACAACAAGCCCGTCTCCTGCCGGATGGTTGGTATCGGACCCCGGACAGCCGACTTTGTCTACCCAAAGCCTTGGGGAGGCAACTCTTGGCGCAGTTCCATCAACTTACTCACCTTGGGGCACGTAAACAAGGAGAACTAGTCCGCTCCAAGTTCAGGATCCCGGACCTCACTGCCATTACTCAAGATATCACCTTGAGATGTCTAGCCTGCGCTAAGGTTAGTGCTAGTCCTCACCCGCGGCAGTTTGGGACTCGGTTCTATCGGCGCCACCCCGGGGAGCACTGGGAGATTGACTTCACTGAGGTTCGCACCAGCAAATATAACTATAAATACCTACTGGTTTTTATTGACTCCTTCTCGGGTTGGGTAGAGGCTTACCCCACCCGGATGGAAACCGCCTCTACCGTCGCAAAAAAACTCCTTCAGGAGCTCATCCCCCGATTTGGCCTACCCAGATACCTGGGGTCCGACAATGGCCCGGCCTTCACGGCCAATATCTCTCGATTGTTGGCCAAAGCCCTCCATATCACATGGAAACTACATTGTGCCTATCGGCCACAGAGCTCAGGGCAAGTTGAACAAATGAACAGAACCTTAAAAGAAACGCTTACTAAATTTGCTCTAGAAACTGGTGCTGGGTGGCCGGATTTGCTTCCCTTAGCCTTGTTCCGTGCCCGCTGTACCCTATATTGAGCTGGTTTTTCCCTTTTTGAAATCCTATACGGGAGGCCTCCCCCTCTCTTCCCCCGGTTAAAGGCTGAGATATTGTCTGAGGTTTCTAACCACCTTTTAATTCAGTCTCTCCAAGCTTTACAGACACTTCAGACTGAGCTGCACCGGATCATCCAGGCTGCCCAACCAGACCGCGGACCTCTCCAGCCCCACCTGTTCCTGCCCAGGGTGACCGTCCTGGCCCGACGCATCCCCTCCAAGACCCTCGAGCCGACCTGGAAAGGACCTTACATTGTCACCTTAACAAAGTTGCCGGGATCCCCGCCTGGATTCACCACACGCAAGTCAAGCTTGCCCCGCCGAATCCCGAAAAGAGATGGAAGGTTCTCAGCAAGCCCGGCGACCAAAAGATAAGACCCTCTTAGTAAAATTTCAGGTCCCTTAGCCACCAGGTTGCCCAGGACTTAGGATATCTCAAGAGCTCCGTTTCTCACCTTGAACTCCAGGTTAACTCCCTCACCGAGGTAGTCCTCCAGAATAGAAGAGGACTAGATCTCCTCTTTCTCGAACAAGGGGGTCTCTGCGTAGACCTGGGGGAGACCTGCTGGTTTTACGCTAACCAGTCTGGGGTCATTCGGGAAACTCTAGCCCTTGTTCAGGAAAATCTCAAAGCTGGTATCAGTCTCTCTTTAACTGGTCACCATGGTTCACCACCCTCATCTCGGCCCTTTCGGGTCCCCTCCTCCTCCTCCTCCTAGGCTGCCTATAGGCCCATGCTGCATCAATTGTCTCACGAGGTACCTGCACCGCCAGGTCAATCAGGTTGAGCTCCTGGTCCTCCAGCGCCAATATACGCCCCTACAGACCCAAGACTCAAGGATTTGATCCATTCTCATAAGACCAGTGGGGAATGTAAGGATCTGTCCTCAGGGATACTGTTGCAAGAACCAAATTAGATGAATAAGGTTCCAGGAAACTATTCAGGATCCCCTTTGTCCCTGGGACCAGACCAGGGGCTTCCTGTCCCCAGTACAAAAAGTTTCTGTTCAAAACCTGTTTCAAGGAAGGACTCATGCTCCGGGCCAAGCAACACCTGCAATGGATGCGGCCAAGTGCTAACAATAACTGCTTGTTTTGCAATAACAGTTTATTCTTGCTTCTGTAAACCTGTTTGCAATAACGGTTTATTCTCACTTCTGTTAACCTGCTTCTGCTTAGGCGCTCAGAAATAGGTAAAGCATATATAAACTCTCACCGGCCAAGGCCCGGGGCCATTCTCCTCTTGCAGAGTGAGACGGATGCCAGGCCTGGCCCAATAAAGCCTTTGGAATGAAAACTCTGTCTCTCAGGTCTTTATTAATGAGCAAGGACCTAACAACCGTGAGTGGCTGGCAGCCAGCATGAGCGGTCGGTAGTCAGCAAAAGCTGCCATGAGCTGCCATGAGTGGCCATCCAATGGCCGGCAACTGATTTGCCGCACCTGGGAAGAGTGCAATGATCACAATACCAACATGGGCCAGTGAAGTGACGTCCTCCACAATTAGACTGAAAAACAAAAGGACAGCAACTTGTCTGTTTCCCTTCCCCGATTCCCCAATGCTGTTCCCCTCCCCAATTCTCCAATAAAATCTTTAAAAAAATTTTTTTTAATTGTAGTTTGTTGGTAATTGTTGAACTCAGTGATGATGGGTCCATGGGAATTCATGTTATTGTATTTGGTTTGTATATGTTGAAATGTTGCCATAATTTAAAAGGCTTTCTTCCTATAAATAGTGGTCAATATGGGCTGGCCGAGTGGCTTGGTTGGTTAAGAGTGTGAACTCTGAGCAATAGGGTCACCAGTTCGATTCCCACATGGGCCAGTAAGCTGCTCCCGAGCTGAATTGCTGCCGAGCTGCCAACAGGTGGCAGGATGGCTCAGCTGGTGACTCCCACATGGGATGGTGGGCTATGCCCACTCGCAACTAAGATTGAACACAGCACCTTGAACTGAGCTGCCCTGAGCTGCTGACAGGCAGTCAGATAGCGACTAGACTTGGAGCTGAGCTAGGTGCGTCCTCCACAGCTAAGATTGAAGGACAATAACTTGGCTGTTCTCCTTCCTTCCCAAATTCCCCAATTAAAAAAAAAAAGTGGTCAATAATAACACTTAAGTCAGGTGGCAGGTGATCAGAATTAAAATGCTCTGAAATCCTTTTATTGTTCAAGAGTATGTTAGAGATATTATTTATGCTTAGACTTTGCCACCTAAAAGATGCATGTTTAAATTTGAAGGGTGGCCTCTAAGAGAACTGAAACTGAAGGTGTAATTTCTAAACCAGTAAAGGAAAGAATAGGGGATAAAGAATACTCAGTCAACCCAAAAGAAGGAAGGAAAGGAGAAAAATAAGTATAAATAAAACAAGGACAAATAGAGATTACAAAACAAAATGGTAGAACACATATGTATATTTTTATGTGGGTAATAGAGCTCCCATGAACCCTCCCTAAAGGTTTTACTAGAAATGAATGGAATGGAAATATTACATCAGAAGGATGGAGGAATTAAGAGACATTGTCTACAGAAATAGGAGAGACTTCTGACTTGAAAATGATGGTAGAGAAAAAAATAGCCATTTTTGCTCTCTTTCTCTCATAAAACACCCCAAATCAAAAAGAATACTTTGCCCCTGAATTTTTTCACCTAGTGCTTTATCTTGAAGCTCTTTCCATATGAATACCTAGAGAGCATTTCTCTTTTTTTTTTTTATACAGCAGCATAATATTCCATTGGTTGAATGAACCATCGTTTATGAGCCTGTTTCCTTTTAATGGATACTTGAGTTGTTTCCAGTCTCCTTCCACATCAAAGAATGCTACAATGAATAACCTTATAAATACTTCATTCAGTGTATATGTAGATAACTTGTAGGCCTTTTATAGAGGACAATTTGGCAACATCTGTAATATTGCAAATGAGTCCTTTGGCCCAGCCATACTATTTTGTGGGATTTAGTGTATATATACACACATCTATATATTACATATATATATATATTACATAACATATATAATATATATTAGGTATATGTACATTTATATATCTCTATATCTGTTTACGTATATTGAAAACTATGAATTCACAATGATATATCCAATTCAAGTCCAACACCTCTAGTTTGCTCCCTTTCCATATTTATACCCCCTTTCTCTGGCAGTGAGAAATCTGACTTTCATTTTCCTTAATTTACTTCTTTGATCAATTTCCCTGTGTGTTCCCCAGCTCCCTCCGCCGCCCTCACCCAAACCCCCCTCAAACAGCTTGGGTTTTTCACTCCCCAAGTCAGTAGGTCCCTCTTCCAGTACAAAGGCCTTGCATGTTCCATTTGGAGGTGGCCCGCTGTGCTGAGCTGTTGTATGACTAGGTGCCCTCTTCCGCACTAATGCCCTGACACCCCGTTCTGGGCCACTGTCCACATCCCCACTCCAAGCTGGCCTTGCCTGCTCTATCTGAGGGCCTCAGGGAAAAAAAGGAAAAGGAACAGGAAAAATGTTTGATACTATTTCATGCATTTAAATGTGTGAGCTTTCTTTTATGACTTCTGTATTCTGAGTTATTGTTCAAAGGTTTCCTCCACACCCAGGTTGCCAAGGAACTTTCCAATGTTTACTTCTCATTTTTTTATGGTTCCGTATTTTATATTGAAATCTTTGATCCATTTGGAGTTCATTCAGCGTATTATTTTTTCCATCCCTTCCTTCTATTAGGTCGATGGGCTTTTCTTTATTATCCTTTTTCATATTTATTTTGTGTCAAAGTTATATATGCACACAGTAAAATCATGAAGTGCTACGTGTTCAGTTTAAACTTCCACATCCTGTCACATTGGCAATTGATTCCTGTTTTAATTAAAAGTGCGGTTAACCACAGAGGCAGGTAAACTTTGAAACATCAGTGGGGTTTTTTTGTTTTGTTTTTTTTTGTTTTTTTAGCTGAGCCATCCTGCCACCTGTTGGCAGCTCAGAAACATCCGTGGTTTAAACAACTGATTTTTATTTCTCCTTCTTGTAAAGTTCAATCAGCAGAGAGGCAGAGGGTCAGGAACCCAGGCTGATGGCAGCTGTGTTGTCTTAACATTTGGCTCCCAAGGTCTCCATGGGTGTCAGGTTCCCTGGCTCTTGGAGCTCTCCAAGATGAACCCCAATAATCCCCACCTCCTGATAGCCATGTGCTGTGTAGTCCTGTCTTACAGTGTACTAGGGTAGGTCTGTGTGACCAATAGCACATGGCAAAAGTGATGAGATATCACTTTTGAGATTAAGTTATAAAGACTGTGGCTATGTGTCTTCTCTCTCTCTCTCTCTCTCTCTCTCTCTCT